CTGATTCCACTCTGAGTGGCAGTGAGGGTGGGGCCGGGCCCTCAAGTACATCTCTTTTGTCCCTCATGCAGAAAATATGTATGCAGCCGCAGTTATAGCCCTCTGCAATCAAAATCTACAAAAATAGACAACTTAAACTGAGATTGGCGAAACCTTTACTTCACAGACATTCGCATTTAGAGATCACCGGGGACCTGGCTTTGGTCGGAATGAATAAAAAACCCAGCTTTAGCTACAGGTTGCTTGATCAGAAGCCAAACTCAAAAGTGTGAAGCAATCTCACACGAGGAAGCAAAAAAAAAAAAAAAACAACCTCTTGATCTCCGTGGAGCCCGATTAGACGACATTACAATACAATAAAAGGTGAAAGGCTTCGTTGAAGATTGGTGGAGGCCTCTTTGGTACGGGCAGGTGACAGCGCGTCACAAAAAAGTACTCATTTCACGGACTTTAATCGCGTTTTATCGCCTTATGACTGCAAACTGTGTTTTATTGAGATTTCATGCGATAGAGCGAAGCAATGATTAAATGTCAAGTGGAAGGACGACGACACATGGCTTTCAAATGATGAAATCTGAAATGTTGATTTGTCAAATTAATGATTCAGGGAGACTCTGAGGGTTGCACAAATTTTCTTGTACAAAAAAAAAATATACATGTTTTTGTTTTTACAAATTAGCTCAAACTAAACACCCAAATTTAGTGTGTTTATTCCAAGCCAATGCACAAGGCAATCTTTATTCCAATGTCTGCATTGGTCGTTCATTTATACATTTTTTTTATTGTAATTCTTACTGAAGCTCCAGCAGACCTCACACACTAAAATAAGAGCCTGACAGCTGCAGCTGAAAAGGCTCTGGGAATCTGGCCCCCGGACCTTTTCATGTGGCCCTCTAGACTCCAAATTATCTTTGGAGTCATCGTTAAGTCCTTCCAGATTTTCCACAAACCTGAAAAATTCACACAAAATCAACAAATCTCCACACTTGTTTTCTGAGATGTACTGCACATTTTCTCAAAATTGGTCAAAACCTTTATGGGTTTCAGTGACTGCTGCCTCAGCCTTACTTGACTTTATAGTCTGCAACTTACACCAGTAATAAAAAGTCACGTTTAACATCACACATTAGCGGGAATGTCATAAAAATCTGTAATTTTGAAAGCAAAAAACATAAAAAAAACTAAAACAATCAGAAAATCTTGGAGGAAATGCTATTTGTTGAGGTTTTCACTGCTCATTTCGTTTTATCAATATATTTTCTGGCACAACTGGCCCTTTAAGAACGTTCAGATTTTTGATATGGCCCAAAATGAAAATGAGCTCCACACCCCTGACTTAGAAGCTTTTGTTCTTGAGATTTTCCACAGCGGGGATGTAAGAGCTCAGAAAGACAAAGAGACAGAGACCGTTAACACATTTAAACAGCCAGCCATTCGGGTCGGGGCGGATCCAGAATGGGGGTGATGTGTCGGTAATGATCAGGTTGATATGAAGTATTCATTTTCCTCTGCACCATGTTTGCCCACTGGCCCAAAAAGCGACAATTCATCCGATCAGAGCAAAACAGCAAATTCTCCATTGGCTTTCCCTCTGCAATTGAGCTAATTGTCGTCTTGTGAACTCATGATTCCACGTGAGCTGTGAAACGTTGCGGCTCATCCAGTCACTATGGAAAACTTTTTACAAACTCAATTTTGTCTGAAATCAGACAAAACTGACTTACAAGTCACGCTTGAGCAAGATGTAGTTTTATTGTTTTAAGTTAATAATTCTTTAATTAATTATTAAAAAGTATTATTTCCACTGGGAGATTACTTCACTTGTAACAAGATGTTTTTCCCACATTATGAGTGCAATAATCTGCCAATCGAACTACTTTTTATATCAATATGGAGAAATTATTGACTTAAAACAAGCTCCCGTAGCTTGCTGAAAAAGTTCAACATATTTGAGAAAAACCCAAAAGCTTTTGGTGAGATCTTTATGCAGCGTTCACTGAGCAGCCGGAGTCACACTGACATCACACTGTAACTCTATTCTCTGAGTTTTATTTAGGGGTAACAGAATTAGGGAGGTCCTTCTGATTTCCTTTCACGAAACGTTAGCGGCTACAATGCTGAAAAGTACGACCATTATTCAAAAACTGATAATACAGATGTCGAACAAAACATAAAATACTGAAATACGTGGCTTTGTATCAGTATCATGAAAATGTTTATAACCTGCGTTTCTTCATCTTATTTCTTCTTAATCAAACGGGCAAAGGTCTGTTTGTTCCGATCTGAGTCACAATGAAACTAAAACCCTAAAACCATAAAAGATAAATCTTGTATTTTTCTGTCACCTTTTTGCACCAATCCTTCTCATAAAGCGTCTAATTGTTGAATACCGCAACACGTTCGCCAAAAGAGAAGAATGTCAGGGGGAATTATGGCTCTTCTACCTGACATTTCACCTTTTTTTTTATTTTTAATATTCACACACTTGAGCTATCTTATCTGAGGCCTCGCTACACCTTAGAGCAGAGTCCAGTGTCCTCGGGAGAGACGATACCCACACAGCAGTTCTTGCCGTGCAGATAAAGTCTCTTCATGGCTTTGAATTGACAGTGACGAAGGTCGTGATAACTCCGAAAGCAATTTAGATCAGATAGCTGCATGGGCTCGCCGAGCCCAGAGGACGTTGTCACATGCGGGCCCCTCACGCCCTCCTCCAGCTCAGCCCGCAGCCGCTCCATGACTTCAGGAATGATTGACTCTTTAGGGTTGTATATTCCATGAGTTCAATGACTAATTCAAGCTCAGAGCAGCCGGTGGCTCCTTTCTTTATCTACAGTTTGTTCCTTATGGCGATTGCCACCTCAGCTTTTTTTTTGGAAGATTTTCTGACATGAAACTGGTCTGCAGTTTGGTTGCGGTGAACGCAACGGGAGAGGATCAAGACAAAAGAGTTTGCGGGAAACAACCGATTGAAGCAAGGAAGAGGGATCTGCCCACCATTTCCACTGTGTCTGCAGAGGAAAACTGTCCTCCGTGCAAAAAGTGTGAACAAAACTCTTCAACTTCTCCCAGGCGTAGACACTAGCATGCTGCTGGAGCAACTGCCCCTTTTCTATCTGAACAAAAAAGTGCCCTTCTCAAACACTTGTGTTTTTTTAATGTATAGTGTGTGACCCAACACTGTAGCATCTTTGGATTTATTACCAGTGACCCACATTTTTGTGATCTTGCCTGACCAGACCATTGCATGCTAATGCTACAACCTCACTTGTCTTATTTTTGTCTAAGCAAAGCGAAAAACAGCAAACCTTTCCCTGCTGCGTCATTATTAGGGCAAATGTCAGCTGACAGGGCCATCACTCCTTACCCTTATGCCCGACATTTTTGAATTTTTAGCTGCCATGGTGACCCCGTGAAAGCCCACCACAGAGGGCAAAGTTCACCAAATGTGATGTCTAAGCCTCCCAGGGTGCATCAGGAAATGGGAGAAGATTTAATATAGGAAATGTGGGACATGGGAGAGGATTTAATGTCAGTGCACTAAGCGATCTCCATCAATATGCTTCTTTATGGTAAATATGGGAGGACTTAATCTGGAAAATCCAGGTGGATTTAACATGGACACGGAGGAATTAATATGGAAAATAAGGGCTATAAGGACTAAGAGCCCTATTGAAATACATCCCTGGTAGTCAAGTGAATAGGAACCTTGTCTCCCACCCGGGAGACCTGGGTTGAGATTCAGCCTCGGCTGTGGATTTTCCTGTTTCAGTGGGAACATTAAGAGACATAAGGACTATTGGTCAATAGATTAACATATTTCTCTGTTGGCTAACTGGTCCAGGCCAGTGACTTTTAGTCAAGAGGCTGGGGTTTGATTCCCAGTAAGCTACAGGTGCTGGAGAAGCATGATGCCTCCCTTTAGGGACATCCCTATTTCAAAGTTGAAAGATGTAAGGACTATAAGTCCTTGTATTCTCACAGTTCCTGTAACCTGATGGTTAATCCTCACGGTCCTCCCCCCAGAAACCCAAGCGAATAGCTTCCCACTGGCTGCAGGCCACCGTTATGTTGAAGTATTCGGGAGGATTAACAAATCCTCCCGAATGGCAAGAGCTTTAGTTACGCTGGTTCCAGTATCCCAGTGGCTATTTTAAGGAAGTTGGAAAGGTACAAGGTGTGCTGATGAGCTTCCTGTCTGAGCAGTTTTTCCTCTAACACACTGATGAAAGAAAGTCCATGGCTCCAGTTGTCAAGTGGTTCTTATGGAAGCAAGGATGCAAGGAGAACCGCTATGCACACCGAGAGCCATCACTACCTTCCCAAAACCCAACAGGGTTCAAGTAGTCGAGTGGTCAAGGCTATGCAGAAACTAAAAATGTACCTGAATATCAAATTATGCTGGGCAACATGGTTTCAGCCTTAAGTTCAATGATTCAGGAACTGCTACGAGTATTGAGATGACATGAACAATTAATACCAAGTTTGGCCAGACTGGCACTCCTTCAGATCAGCCTTTGGAGGTGTAGGGTTACTGTGACCTCTCACGCCCTCTTCTGGTGGCAGCAAACATTGCAGACAGAGAGAGGAGTACAGGACCTGCTTGCAGTTACCATTATGCATTCAAAATAAGACAGTTAAAAATTCTCTATAATTATTAAATGACTGCATTAATAAGCATACGCTGAATGCATTGGCGGCAAATATCTCTAAAGTGATATGTGAAGTGGGGATCAGTGGGTTTATGAGAATCTTCCTCCATTCCTCCAACGGAACATTTGCAAGGTCAGACGCTGATGTTGGCTGAGAAAACCTGACTAGCACTCTCCCCTCCAATTCATCCCTTTTTGGGATGAAAACAGGAAACCTAGAAAAGTCAAAAGCCAGCGTGGTGTTGAGGAGCCTTACAGTGCTAGCAACTTGGAACTAATTAACAATCAAGTATCAAGTTTAAAGGAAGAAACCACAGCAAGTTTGTAAATATTACAATTTTATTCATTCTAAATTGATGTTATCCCACATTTAGGTGATGAGATCAATGGTTTCAAGTAATAGTGATGCTGAGGAGACAGTCAAAGAGCAGACCGATGTCCAGTCAATTAAAACACAAAACCTCTAGAAAATGGGACATCTAACAGCATTAGTGGCAGATGAATAAACCTACCTAATAACAAAACAAAATACATGTTAATTCTATGCAAGCTCAATGTGGAAGAAACGGGATAAATTTATGTAGTTAACCGTAAGAAATGGTGATTTTGAAAACAGACTCGGAACAGCGGAAAAACTGGACATGAAATTACAATTTGGATAAATAAAAACATTCTTCATCAATGCTTAGAAAGTTAGTATTTTTGGAACAAAAAAAAGGGGGAAGAAAAGTCGTTTCTGTTCAAATCTAGATGTGATTTTAAGACTTTATTCAGCTCTGATATTAAAAGCACATACAAAGGTTAAAGACCGCAAGCCAAGGCGATGAGTGGCAGCGGATTGTTTCTTTTTAACGTCAGTCAGGGAAAAGACGACAATGAAAGTTCTGTGCAGGCGTTCTTGATCAGCACGGATTCCAGTCGATGCTTCAAAACTATTTAGCGTCCGTTAGTTTCTCTCTCTGAACAGAAGAGTTTAAATCTACAGCTTCTTCCACGGTACAGTAGATGACATGAAAATAGACAAAAGATATGACAAAAACAAAACACACTGACAACTAGAAGAAGAAAAAAACAAAACAACAGAAGTTATTAGGATTCCTCTCTAATGGGAGTGCAGCCAGAGAAGAAACTGTTCTGAAAGCTGGTCAGGAGCCGTTTCTTCTTCTTCAGGAAGCTGACCGTCGTTCTGTCCTCGTTGTCCTCTTCCTCGCCTTCCTCCTCCTCTGTCAAGGAAGGTTTCCTTAGAAACCTCAACTCAGCGGTGCTTTGGCCCATGTCTCCAATTTCCTTCAGCACCTATAAACGTTAAAGTGTTTTGTTTTATAAAGTTCATTAGGAATAAAAAATATTCAAAGCCTTGAACAGATTGGCTTGTGTTGTTAAATGACCTTCCTACTTAAATTAAATGCTTAAACACAATATAAATAATCATTTGACTTTCTGTAAAGTTTATTACAAAACATGTGCAGGAAAAATATTGAGCATTTTACACCGACTCAAGTTCCATTGAAAATCATCTTATTGAAGGATTTCAAGCACGTGCATGAGCCCAACAAAACACGTCAGAGTTTCTGTTTGCGACTCGGGAAAGAGCTGTGCACGTGTCCATCGTTACCTTTTTAGTCGGGGTGCAAGATGGAGGCTTGAAGAAGGTGGCGTTGTCAGGGCTGTCGCAGGACGGGTCCTGCAGCGACGCAGAGTCTCTAGAAGAGCCGTCTGCGATGCCTCCGTCCTGAAACGAGCAAATGGAGATCAGAGGTCATCGTTACATAGGTATTTGATTTTTAGGGTTTTTTTTTTTTTGGGACTGATCAAAATGAAACGGTTCTCAGCTACAAGGTAAACAAACAAAAGCTGTGCAGCATTTTAATTTTTTCCATTATTACGCGCCACACATGTGTTTCAATGCATTTCCTGTTTGAGAAAATGTGTAATCTTTCCTGTGTGCTTGGTTTTTGGGGTGCGACATAAACGAAGAGCTCCTTCAAATCAAATGAAACTTGTGTCAAACGTTAGTGGAGAAAAAAAAATAGTATGTGCCGCCATAAAAATAATAATAAATGTTTCCGCAGGTCAAAAATCAACCAGTGTCCGTCCCCACGTTTACAAAATTAAACAAGTCGACTGTACAACGTTTTTAGCTGCACAAACATGCAGGAAAAAAAGAAAGTACATCAATTTTGTTTGATTATGTGAATGTGGAAAAGCAGGTCAAACTCTGGAAAATTGTTGGTTTTAAATGCTAAAAATTATGACGACACAAATTAAAATTTTTTGCCACACAAACCAACAAAAACGAAGCACGATTGATTGTATTTTATTAGTTTGTGCGAATACGTATGGGCTGGTTGACCTTCAAAGAGCTCTGGAAAAACTTGTCTTTAAAACGACGGCGGCACAAACGAAAACATTTTGCAGCCCAAACGTTTGACACCATTGTCGTTCAACTTGAGGTCACAGACGGACACTGTGGAGTGGCAGGAACTCACGGCGGCCGCCGCATGGCTGTCCAGGTTTCGACACTTCTCGTGATCACACTGGCAGTTCTCGCCGCACGTCATCTTCCCTTTGCGACACCTGCACTGCTTGTTGCTGCAGCGACCTTTGCACGCACACTGAACAAAGACACACAAGTTGGCGTTAATAACTTTTCTGACTCAGAACTCAACGTTGGCAACTACTGGGCTGGTTTACTGGATTAAAACCAGAGCTGGGGTGCTTTTTTTCTGGTTTATTATTGATGGTTGCAAGCCTGAGTTGTAGTCCACAGAAAGGTTACATCATGTTAAGAAATGATGTCACAAATCCAGGATTTCTACTAATTCCATTGAGTTCAGTGTAAGAATTTTGAAAGGCTTCATTTTACGACTTGAGCAAATCATAAATACGACTTTTCTAACTTAATAGCCAACACAGTTAATAATTGTGTGAAATCGGATAAGAAAAGGAAATGCAAAGAAGCTGCAAAAAGCCAGGAGCAGAACTCTGCCTACAGGCGTGAACGTTTGGTGCTCTCAACCCGAGACATTTCAAGAAAAGTGGGAGCTTTTATATTAAAATGGGAAGTAAACTCATCAAAACATCTGGTGGTCGGGAGCCAATCAAGTTGCGACGTGGCAACTTGATTGGCTCGATTTTAAAAGAATGTAAGTGTCCTGGTTTTCGTTTTTATTTAGCGTCTCTGTTTTGGAGAACTCAGGTTGGTCTTACCCCGGTTAGTTTAGGCTTCTTGGGGGCCCTCCGTGCCTTCTCGGCATTCTCGGGACGCCACTCGTCCACTTCGTCCTCGTCATCGTCCTCGCTGGGGGACAGCAGCTCTGTCACGTTGATGGTTGTGCTCACAGCTGCCTTGGCGGTGGTGAGCCTCTTCTGTTTGGGCTTTCGGGAGAACACAAAGCAAACAGAATCAACTTGCGACGACAAGTTCTGAGTCGAAACATCGAGCCAGACGACAAGCCGCTGCAGTCATGAGGCAAGGCGCCGGAATAACTGGGAAAACTTCAAAATGGCAATAAAAAAATAATCTTAAAAAAATAGAAAGAAAACGACTTACTTTTGGAGGAACGTACTCGAATGAGTCGTCTGGGGTTGTTTCATTCTTAACGGCAGGTGCAAGAACTTTCTTCTCACTTGCCAAGTGGAGCAACGAAAGTTTCTAAGGTGAGAAAAAATAAGTTTTTTTAAAGCCCGATTAGATTGGGGGGGGAACAACTGCTGGTAGCCGCCTTTGGGATTTCACCTCCGTTCGGCTCGCTGCCTGTCACGCTTTCACGAAATCCATTTCACCTCAGGCAAAAAAGTAATAAAGTGACCTTGTTTTCTTTTTAATTGACTACTTCACTGCACATTTCCTCAATATCATTCAGATTTGTCAAATTATCTTTTTGGCTTAAGACACAACATGCAAAACTACAAATGCAAGAACACATTAAACATCTGCAATCATCGACTTGTATGGACAAATGTGAGTTTTCATCAACTTACACGATTTTCTCCATTATACTTCATTATTAAAACGTCATCACTGACATTTCAGATGCAGCCCACTAGAGGCAGTTCTTTACTTTCTGTTTAATTTATTTACAAGTTAGTAAAATGGTATCAATTGTTAATTAGATTGATTTAATATTTTAAAAACGATATCATTATTTCAGTTGATTCGTTTCCACCTTTAACAAATGTGTCAAAATCACTGATTGATAAGAAATCAGCCAAGATGAAAGCAAGTAAAACTCAAAAGCCTAGCATGTCTTGGAAAAGCTCAATACTATTTATTACAGAAAGTGAAACTAGTAATATAGAAATTCATTACACATAATAAATGCTTGAAATGCTGTAGAAATGCTATCCACTTGGCGACTAGGGCCCTTATATCCTGATACCCAAAAAGTTTAAATATTGTGAAAGTTACAATATATTCAAGAAAAGTTGAGTGGAAGGAAAAAGTGTGGTAGGTAAAAAAACAGATGAGTTTCTTTACCTATCTGAACAAGAGATCGGTCAATAAAAAGGAAATAATTCAGGTCTAAGATCCACTTTATTTAATTCTCTCTTGAGCAATCCAAGTATGAAAGTGAAATTATTTTAAAATAATCTACTGTAGCATCAATCTACTTTACAAACTTACAAAAAAAAAAAAAAAAAAGATTAGGGATGTTACCTGTCTGTATTGCTCATTCTGCTCCATTAGTTTCTGGTGCTGTTCGCTTAATGTTCGTAACTTTTCGAGCTCTTCTTCCTAAAAACAATACAAACTTAAGTACCTCATCAGGAGAGACTTGCAAAACATTTAAAAACGTAAGTAAATGAAAAAATAGACATTAAATGTTGAATAAACAAACCTGGACTTTGAGGCGCTGGAGAAGCTCCCTCTCTTTTGAGCTCGTCTCCTCTTCCTGCTTCGCTTCTTCCGACTCCTCGGATATGGGTTTGTTCTGCAGCTGGTTGAGGAGGTAAAGAACCTGCAGAGAAAAACAAACAGGAAGGGTTCGACGGACAGCGGTGGGAAGAAAAATAAAAATAAAACACGCTCCCGTCCGAGGACACGTCACCTTCTCTTGGTGCCTCTGCTCCAGCTCCACCAGCTGCTGCTGATGCTCCATGTCCATGGCGGACATCACGTTCCTCTCGTCAGCCAGCATCTTCCTCAAATCCTGGGCGTTTCCTTTCTCCTGTTTCAGCTCGCCCTCCAGCTTGGAGTAGGCTGCTTTAGCCGACACCAGCTGGGAACGAGATGAAAGTGGTCAGTGAGGTTTACGTGTGAAATGCGTTCAGGCTTGATTAGCTTCATTTTTTTTTTTTACTTTTCACCTCGGCCATTAGAACGCGAACTGCGCTCTTTGCGTCCACTATGCTGGTGAGGCCGTCGACTCGTTGTTTTAAACGCCCCTCGCCGTCAGCGACCAGGACTTTCTGCTGGAGGTCGGCGATCTGAGCGTTTCTGTGAGGAATCGAACCGTTTAGCACATCTTATCACATGGTTTTATAATATTGTTCACAAGTCATTTCTTGCAAGCCCAGGTCTGCAGACTTGACCAGCTGTTTTGCGCTTTGCATAAAACGCTGCATTGTGATTCATATGACTATTGGCTTCAACTTTTAAAAGAAAAATACAGTTTAACAATCTCACACTCATTTTTTTCACGATAAATTTTATGTCTGTATTTTGTGACACGTTATTTTCTTACAAAATTAACTCCTTGGTGGAGACAGCAGTAAACGTCTGCTATCTTTTACTCAAAAATGGAAAATGAGGGCTGTGAAATAAAACTAAAAACCCTGCCTTTTGCTAGCGATTTATGAATAAAAGCTAAATCAAATTTAAAGACGATTTCAATTTAACAACAATCCCGACATGAAACAGTAACAACTGTAACAACTTTTTGTTTCTTGATGCTGTGGAGCCTCTAGGCGTTATTACAAAGGTGGCGCTGCCATGTTTGTGATCGTTAGCATGCAGGATTTGTGTCAACATTAGCGCTAAGTATAGAGAAATAAATAACCAAAAGCAGTCAGGCAATTAGACAGATAAGAGATTGTAAACAAAGAATAAAAAATAAAAAAAACATTCAAAAGACACGTTAAAAATAAAGTCATGTTTATAAGTTTGAAAACTGCAAGTCGAGTCTGAAGTGTATGTGATTTATTGCGTTCTGGCTCTAAGTGGACGGCTTGATTCACCTCAGGCCCATTTCTGTCTCCAGGTTCTCCACCTGCTTGGACAGCGGGGTCTCCAGCGCCCCCCGGGTCTCCAGCTCAGAGATGATCAGAGTCCGACGCTGCATTAAAACGTCCCACGAAACAAAGGAGTCAAGATCTTTCCTTGTCCCTGGATGTCTTTTACATTACATTTCCACGTACTCTGATTTTAGGAGCAGGTTTCTCCCCGGCCTCGATCTGCTGTTTGAGGTTGTTGATCTCCTGAGCCAGGACCTTCCTGTCGTCCAGCAGGTCGTTGAGGTGGCGGCGCGCCTCCTCCGTGCTCACCATCACCTCCACCTCGTTCAGCAGCCACGTCTGACGCAGGCGGAGCCACAACTTTAAGTCAACCTCTTGCAGGAATAAGTGTTTAGCGAAACAGACACCCGGTAAGCTACCTTGACTCTCGCGGCCGCTCCCTCCATGCCTCGGTTATGGCCATCTTTGCGTTTCTCCGCAGCTTCGCTTCTCTTCAGCAAGGCATCTTTCAGTCTTTTGTTAGCAGCTGCTGCCTGTGGCGAAATGACGCAGTGGGGTTCATGTGCTGTGGAGCAGCACAACAAAAGCAAGCAACACAACAGCAGAAGGAACCAACCTCCTCGGTTTTACGCCGCAGGACGTTGGCTTGTTTCTGGAAATCTCTCTCCAGTTTAAGCAGCTCGTACTGCCGTTTACGATCCTGTAACACGATTGGGGAATAAAGAGCAAACATATGAGGACGGGCTCTTGTCTCCAGCTTCTCAAAACGGTTTTCGTTTGTTCCAGACCTTCTCCTTCAGCTGCAGGACCTCCCTGTCCTTCTTGTTCTTCCACTGCCTGTATTTCTCACCGTCTTCTCTCATCTGCTTCATCAGCTGTATTCGCTGCGATTTCATAGCCTAGAAGAGAAAACACCCGGTTATTTCGGTTTGTGATTAAGTAATTTCAGTGTAATACGTTCGGCTTTCTGCCCAGAAAAACCTGATAAGCCCATCATAAATATCAATTATTTGAACTTCAATTAAATCCTTAAGTAATGAGCCATTGGACCTTAAAACTTCGGCTCCCCTCCTTGGTTCTTTTACCACATGACTTCCCCCCTTCCTGTCTGATAGCTGTTAAATAAAAGGTCACTAGTGCAAAAAAAAAACAAAACAAAAAACAACAAAAACAACAGCTACTTCTAGCCTGAGGGGGCAAGTGAAGTCAGATGGCGGCCAGGTTCATAATCCACTGCTGTGAACACCAAAAGCAACTACAACTTGTTTTTGATTTAAAAGTCAAGATGGGAACCCTAAATTTTACAAATCACTTCAAATTAAAATATATTTTAAAAAGACCAATTACCTGAATCTCCTGCATCAGCTTGCTGACTTTCTGAACCGAGGATTCCTTGAGTTTCAGCAGCTTCGACTGATCAAGCAGCTTCTTCTTCATGTCTACAAGTTGAGCCTCCAGCTCCTGTAGTCTCCTCCTCCGCTGCTCGCTGAGTCTAAAAGAAGTTTATAGACGGCGGAACTCAATGGAAAACATCATTTTGTACCATTTCAAATCAGATCACTGCGACAGGAAGGATAAAGTTGTCGTACTTTGCCTGGTTGGTGTCTTTCTTAGCCGACTGAAGAGCTAAAACCAATTCCTCTTTTTCCTTTTGCAGAGAATCGACGGCCGACTGCAGAGTTTGGACGTTTTTCTGGGGAACGAGTCGATGTGAATAAATGACCTGGACAAACCGACACTGAGCTCTTTTGCTCCTCTTGTCGTCTTACGTGGTGCTCTGACTGCATGGGCTCCAGCTGGCTGTCGTTCTGGCACATTTTCCTCACGTAAGCTTCCTTCAAACTCAACACGTTGTTCAGCTCTATGAGCTCCTTGGAGAGCTGGGCTTGTCTCAGAGCATGGTTGGCTGTGAAAGCCTCTGGGGAATCCTTTGCAGACGTGGGGGAACAAAAGCAACTTCAGAAATAATTTTATGCTGTCACAACAAACCATCTAACGCTATCTAATTGCACAGAAACCGTACTGATGCAGACTGCTCGGGTGGATTTTTACTGCCGCCCGCTGCCGCCTCGGGCACTTCCTCTCTCGCAGACATGGCGTCGATGGAGGCAGATATGCAGACGCTCTCGTTCTTACGAAGCAAACAAAAGCAAAAACAGAACGATGAACACCTGTTGTGTCAGCCAAGACAATAACAGAGGTGTGGGGCAACAATTCTGATAGACAGAGGTGTGTTTTGTTAACAATGACAACATTTTATCGTTAACGATAACAGCAACAAAACAAAAAAAAAAAAGGAAAAAACATGGCAAAACTATTTGATAACTAAAACTAAACGAAAATGTTAGCATGTAACTCGATGTATGGCAAAGAGAATATTTTTTGGCTCTTTTGGGAGTAAAGATTTGTCGATTAAAAACAATCACATGAAGAAAAGACTAAAACTAATACACATTTTTGAGAGAGAGAAAAAAAAACAAACAACTCAGACTAAAACTAAAACGGCTGCCAAAAGCAACAATGCTTGCACACCGCGTTTATCAAGTTCATAGACGGACATTTTTCCTTATGACATCAACTGCAGCAGTAAAGAAAAAGCTGGTTCATTTACCTTGAGCTCCAAGATGAGTTCTTGTAAGTTCTTCATCACCTCCACATTTTCCTTTAACTCCTGGTCCTCCAGTGACTGCATCACTTTCTGAAGATCAACAGCACAGCTGAAAGGAACAAAGAGATTAATACCGCTGTACTTAAAAGGGCATACATAGTAGGACACTAATAATGCTTCTGATTGGTTTAAAAACAAGAAGCAAACTTGATAAAGCAACCTTTTTTTTTTAAAAGAAAGTTATCAGTGAAGTCTTTATATTTTGAAATGTTTATTATTCCCATATTTATCCAGAACAACTGAATTCAGACGAGTTTGAAAACGTACGCTGCGTGGCGCTGAAGCTGCTCCAGTTTGCTTTGCAGTTTCTCATTAGTTTGTTCCGTCTGAAAACGAAAGAAAACAGTCTACGGTGAAGTCGAGAACCTAAAATGTCCACTTTGGTTTGGAATAAACCAATAATCCCCTCTATTTGATCCATTTGGAACTTCATAAATATCTTTTCAGAGATAATTCTGGTCCCACTTACCATGATGATCTTCTCAAACATGAAGGCCGTCTGTCCCGCCGCCTCGCTCAGCTCTCGGCACAGCTTGCTGTTCTCGTCCTGGAGAGCGCGGTTCTTCTCCAGCAGCTTGCCCACGTCCTCGGCTGAACTGGGCCTGGAACACAAAGCCGTGACCAACAGGTCGCGTGTGTTTTTCTAACCGTATTTATTCACCCATCCTCCCGGTTTGATCCCCACTTCTTACCCGGAGAGCACAGGAGCGACTCCGCCTCGCGCGTGCAGAAGCATCACCTGCAGCTCTTGCACCTGAGCAAACATGGAAAGGAAAAGATTCTTTATGCTTTCACTTGTTCACTACTTCCAGAATCAGGTTTTGCATCGTGGAAAATACAGAAAACCCTCCCACCCCCCCCCAAACAAACAAACAAAAAAATAGCTACAAAGAAAGTCATGCTGCTCGAGAAATAGATTTCCAACCAAACTAGAGTAACTAGTAACAATTCTTCAAACATAGCATGTATAGATCTTATAATGGAGCGTTCAGCTTCATATTGATTTTTCTGTTTTTTTAAAATACCTGCTGTTTCAGTCGGCTCATTTCTGCTGCTCTGGGGTCGACGTTAACAATGGGTTTATTCTTAATCTTGCGCGCTCTGTCGGCGTAGCGCAGCGTGTTGATGGTTTCCTCCATGTTGGAGTCTGCAGGACTGACGCATGCAATCATCAGAGTGTGGCTGTTTCCTCCCAGAGAATCTGAAGGAAAGAACCTCTTTTTAAGGGAATAAGCAATTGGAGTGCATCACATTTCTGAACTGCATCGTTTTTGGGAAACAAGCTTTTGCCTTCATCTTTTATTAATTAAAACACAGAAGAGTCTGCATGAAATGCTGTCAGAAAACAAGGTTTGGAAAAAAAAAAAAAAAAAAAAAGGGATTATCTTTGTTAGAGAGAGAGAGAGAAAGAAAAAAGCCCGATCTAACCACCAGCAGGACTTTTGAACATTTAAATCAAAGCCTACCCTGCAGCAGACGGGTGAGTTTGGAGTCTCTGTAGGGAACAAAGGTGTTTTTCTTGCTTTCGTCACCCAAAGCACTGATCACATTACCCAGGCACAAGAGGCCGCGGTTGATGCTGATTCCTGTGGGTAAAAATAAACAGCGTCACAAGACAAGTGCTCCAAGAAAAGCTGTAGTTTTAAACACTGGAAGACGCCGCATTCAATAGCATGCAAATGTTCCAATGTTTGCTCAGAGTAATAAATAAAAACAAGAGTGTTTTTTTTCTTATTTCCTAACTGCTCCAGAAAAAAACAAAAAAAAAAAATCATTTTTTCCAATAAACCTGTAAGGTATCTGAAAACCTTTTTACAAAAATGAGGGAGAGAGATGTATAAAAACAAATAAATAAGTAAAAATGTGTCGTGATTACCTTCTTTTAAACGGTCTCCCTCTGCTTTGGTTTTCTTCTGTCTCTCTGACCCGGCCAGATCGACAAGGTGCAGCTTTGAAACAATCGAATCCACTCTGAAACAGACGTTTGCATAGATTGTCTTCAGAGGGCTAATGATTGCGCAAATCATTTTCTTGCTGGAAAATTATTATTAGACATTTTTCTACAATAGTTTGAGGAGGCTGACGCGTCAGAATCACAATAAACAGGAGAAGAAACATTCATTTTTGTGCTGTTGAAGTTTTTGCGATTAATTGCACGTTCGGATAAATAAAGTGCGTTATTTGTGTCGTAATGGATGAAAGAAACCCTGATGAGAACTGAATCTGAAACCTTTTTGATGTAGAAGAATCTTGAAATCTCTAGAATTAACATTCTGTTCAATACAATTGACCTTCCCTTCTCATTTTCCATCAACATCAATCTGATATTCTGTATTTTCTGAGTGAAAAATGGAGGATATAATTAAGCTGCATATTTTAACTAATCATGCGGTAGCAGTAAATAACTTTTTTTTTTACATTTATGTAAATCTGAAAATGTCCAAGTTCTGTTGTCCTCTCCTTTCATCAGCTCTAAAAAGATGACTTTGAGAACCACTTGTAACTTAAATAATCAATGTATCATTAATATTTTCCTGCTTAAAATGAATAAATTGGTCAGGATCTACATTTTTCTCAGTTTCTGTCAATAGAGTGAAACTGTTGCATTTTTGCTGAATGTTTTAACACTGAGTCAGGCCTAGTAGCAGGTATTAAGGAAAATGTGTTTTAAAGAAAGAAGAAAAAAAAAAGTACACCGAGTAACTAAAATGTGTGAAAAGCTGAGTATTGAAGTTTAAAGAAAAGTAATCAGAATCTTTAAGGGACAGATGTATGAGGATATTATTCCACTATAGTGTTGTAATGAGAGCATATTGATAAACTGTGGACATTGCTGAGGAGCTATTCATATAGATATATGTATATATATTAAATTACATGACATTAAATAACAAAAAATAATGAGAGAAGTGTAAGAAGCTGACTTGTCTGATCCTCTCCGCTGCTCCAGTGTGATCGTGAAAATGGCGTGGGAACGTGAAGAGGCCGCGTTCATGGCCGTGGACCCCACCGTACGCGCGGAGTTCCCGACTTCCAGACAACCCACCATCTCCGGGGCGGTAAACACCTTCTGCTCAGTCAGCCCAACAATCTGGGGGCAAAAATGTGTCATTTCAAAAGTACAAACGGAAAAAGCTCACTGGTGGAATACACTCACCTTAATGCCTTCTTTAGGGTCCTCCCGAATGCTAATGGCTGGTTTATCTTTAGAGGAACACAGCAAATCTAATATGTCTTCATTATATATCTGAAAAAAGTAAATACATTTAAAAAAGCAATTATAAGACGCTTGACACGATACAAAATAAGGAGGGCGATAATCCTAGATTTTTTTCATACCATATCTGATTTTAATCTGTTTTTTTAAAGAAATTACAGAATCTACAAAATACAGAATTTTCCAAATCCGAAAGAATTTGATTAACAGCCGACCTCCAGATACGATACAGCCAGACAGAATTCAGAGTCTGCTCTCTTTTCTCTCTCCTCAAAGATCCTCCGAATGACTCGGGGGATAACTCCGACCGAAGGCTCGTTTTCCTGCGCCGATGTGTACGTTCCTCCCATTGAGTAGGTTTTTCCTGACCCTGTCTGGCCGTACGCCAAAACAGTGGCATGGTAACCTAATAGAGAAAATGTTTGGCAGAATAAAAAAAATTTGCTCACCTGACTTCGTTTTTCTAAAGAAAAAAACTGCTAATATAACCAGAATTTTATGCAGCTGAAAGTACACTGCATTCAGAAATTAAGTGCGATAAAAAATGCACATCGCTAAGCGGCCTTACCTTTGAAAAGTCCACGCAGTAAAGGTGAGATGGCGGTGCTGAACACTTCCTCTTGTTCAGCAGCGGGGTCGAACACATAATCGTATGTGAATGCTTTCTCTGTGCCGACGATCACCTGAGGTAAAGACAAACACACTATGCAGAGCTTCATCGTAATAATTCAAGTTTAATGCAACCCATCGTACCTGTGGCTCATCAGGAATGAACGTGAGGCAGGACTGACATCCCTCGTTGATCTCTTTTGGCACCAGCGGGCGACATCTCAAGGCGACGCGCACCGGGATCACCTTAGCGCCTTCATTCGTCATGGTGAAAGATTCCGCTCAGCAGCTTTGAGACATTTAAAGAGCAAATGTGCTGAAAAACCTGGGTGCAACTTAAACAGATATAGTTTTACAGCACATTCACAAAGTGAAAAGCAGCCAACCCGATCTTATTTATGTGAAACTGAAACCGATCCTCCAAACATAAAACATCTTTTTCTGGTAAAATGGACATAATTTAGCCCATGTATTCAAATCCATAAGCAGCAAAATTGTAACTTTTTTAAAGAGAACATGTATAACCATAACATCACTAACAACTTTTTATCCGCAGTTGAACATCTCTTTTAGGGTGGCAACAAACGATCATTTTTAGTAATCGATTATTCTGACAATTCATTGAAGAAGGGGAAAAAAATTGCCACAGATTTTTCATTTAACCACATCAGCTCATATTATACAATACTAGAAATATAAAAACTAGGCAAATCATTCGGTTCCATTAAAAAAAAAGTAAACATCTTATTGCATAAATTATAACGGCACTACTTGAGTGATTTATAATTTGTAGCAAAGGATGCAACTGCACCTAAAACAATGCTAACAATACATGAAAAGATCAGACTTTCTGCTTGACTTGACATCAGAACAGTGTAAGGCTAATCTGTTGATTCTTACTTTTTTGATTAACTAATTCATAATTGACTTAAAAAGGTGCTTAATAAAGGGTGGCGGGGGGGGGGGAATACACGGAAAATTAACCAGATGAAGCTAAAACTGGTCAATCTGAGGAGTTTTGGGTAGAACATCATTTGCACACAAAGACAATTTCTCATCTTAAATACAAAATGTACATGTATATTTTGTAGTTTTGGTTCAGCTACTACTCTGAATATGTTGTTTTTACAGCAAATGGACATTTTTTTTCCAGTCTGTATACTCCAGTTAATTATTTGTTTACTAAATAAATTGAAGATTATTTCAACAATCGAGTAAACACCAAAATCTCTCATGTTTTACTTTTACACCTCAATACAAAAACTAGTTAGCGGACATAAACTACGGCAGAGAATGACTCTTAGCTCATTTATAGGGGATAACTTTTTTTACATGAATGTTATCGCACTGAATCATTAATAAAACAGGACGTCTGTTCACTGCAGATACAGTCAGCTTGAAGTTAACAGCTAGCTGCGGTTGTTAGCAAAACGTTGCCATTAACGTACCTTTTTCAGGTTTTACCCAGGACTTTGGACGATAACGGCAGTCGGTAGCTCACGGTGACAGTGGACTCCCGCCACATAAGACACGATAAAGCCACCGTGTGCCGTTTAAAACTCCGTTGATTTTACAGATAATGTCTCTTCACCAAAATAGAAGAGTTCCTGCCCGCCACTTTCAAAAACGCGCAGCTCCGCCTCCTTTTTTCTTCTTCTGCACCAAACAGGAAACACACCCAAGTCTCGTAAACAGCGCCACTGACATCTACAGGGCAAAACGTAGTACGCCATCTTTCCGGAACCCCAGTACTACCCTTATAGTATACAATTTAAATATACTTTTTTCACGGCAACCGGAAGCTGTATCTGATAGGGCTGCGGCACTTCTCATACTTACTGCTAGCCGTTTCCGTGATGCTTGCAGAGGAAGTGCAGAGTCTGCTGCCACAGCACTGGCATCTCAGATGATTAGGGGCTCCACTAGACAAACTGCAGCCATGAAGTGTGGTCTGCAGGAGTCTGAGGTGCTGGCAAACTATGCTGAGATGTTGAGGGTCAACATGCTTGCTGTGGGATTCATTGTTTGCCCTGACACATCATATCTTGGTGCAACTCCAGATGGTAAGGTGTACGACCCGTCAGAATCACCCCCGTTTGGACTGGTTGAGGTAAAAAGCAGCATGAAGAATGATACATCTCAGGTTGCTCACCTCAAGGTCCAGGATGACCACTCAGTTTTGAGGCGTTCACATGCCTACTACTGGCAGGTACAGGGTCAGCTGGCAATCAGCGGATTGGAATGGTGCGACTTTGTTACAGACACACTAACAACAATAACTGTTGAGCGGGTGTGGCGTGACGAGGCTTTCATTGATCAAATGAAATCTAAACTGGACTTATTTTACTTCAACACCTTCATTGGTGTGTTCATGTCAATGCAATAAGAATTAAAAAATTTGTAACCAACCCTTTTGTTCCTTTGCATTTCAAACATCCAATCTCAAGCTGTGTGAATCACTGTGAATAGTTGTTACTCAGGAAACATAGAGATGTGCAAATGTCTTTAAAAGGCAGTTGGATAATTTACAAAAAAATTGTTTTCTTAACTGCAGTTGTCTTGAAACTTATGTTTTAAAATTTTTCTCCTTGAGGTTGTCTTAAGTATTTTTTAAATCAATGTATGGTGTACAATTATAAAATATAAAAGTTATGGATTTTTTTGTTTTTACTAGATATTGTAAATTGTACTTGATTTGTTTTCCTTGCAATTCAACTTAATACAAAAAGAAAGTCAAGTGTGCTGCTAAAGTGTGTTTTAATTGAATATTTTTTGCAAAAGTCTAGACATTTAACTTTTTACACAGCATTACAACAATTAACACACAGAAATAATTTAGTCTGCAACACAAAATGGGCCTTGATAATTTGCCAAAACACAACAGTTGTGCCAGATTTGATTGACAGTTCCTATTAAAGTGAGAGGCAGCGGGGAATCCCAGATGTGGTAGCACTTTACTCTAGTGATTGCTCGCTCTACAATGATCTGCAGCCGAGCAATGGTCTGGGTCTCCTCTGTCTCTTTCTTGCTGAACTGACCAGGATGCTTAAATGGTGGAATGATGAGTTTGGCTCCAACTTCATGAAGGAGGTCTTGAATGAGGAAGTCTTTATCCGCCGTGACTTCATCTCCCAGCTCAAGCAGAGGAAGGATTCCACTGACCTTTGTTATTTCTTTGTCGGCAATGCAGCCTGTGTACAACGCTGAAATAAATGTCACCAACTCACAGGGAGCAACTCCAATCAGCCCTTTCAGAGTGGTGTGGTTCTTGTAGGCAGAGAACGTTTCTGACTGTAAGGTGAGGGATGATGGTGTTTCCAGAGCAACTTCTGTGCAGTCCAAGATGACATGGACATTTGGAGAGAACTGCAGAAATTTCTGAGGCGTACTGGCTTTTACCTTCTCACGACGAATCCACAGGTTGATGGAAGAGAACACAATGAAGAGGTAGTCGGCCCAGGTGATGGTCACTCGGCTGACAGTAGCTATGCTGACTTGAAACATGTCACCAATGAGCTGCTCCTTCATGCCCACTGCAACCCTGAACTCATCAATCAGAGGCATGCAGCGGGCAGGGCTGGCTTCAGCACATGCTTCCTCTCCAAGTTTCTGTGCTCTGGTCCAGAACACCAGGCGTGATGCAGAGGGTGCAATGGACTCCCAGAAGATCCGGAACACACATTCAGATTGAAATTTGGTGTAGAACCGGATATGGTCATCAGAGGCACAGTAGTGGCTAAAAAGTGTGGCAGACAAATCCACTTTTTGAAGTCTGGCCTCCAACTCCTTGATATATTCCAGAGCTTCATCAAGTGCACCTGTAAAACCCCAAAGTAAAATAGCAAAACATATGGTTAGCAATAAGTTTTAAATATATATTTGAAACATTACTTCTGTGAAGATCAATACATGTTGTGAGTCAGAGCATGTATGTATACAGTCATTGACTTAATCTCTCCACAATATACATAACCACCTAATCTCATAATTTCATTATTACGTGATCATAATAATAATAATATTATTATAGCAACAGTTATATTTACTGAAATTCTCTTACATGGAAAATATATACAATATACTATCTTTTACCTGCGGGTGGATGTGCCGTGTAGTCATGGTCCGCAGTAGCATCTTCAGCCTGACTATCTTTCTGAGAGGACAAACTGCCGTTTCTTCGCCCTCTCGAAAGCAGACTCTCTCATTGCCGGTGCAGTGAAGTTATTCCAGGCAAACAGGGGAGGAACAGCTCCACTTCTAAGGCGGCTGGTGGTGGATCCGCTAACAAAATCCTCCGGTGTGAAGTGGCGGCTACATACGAAAGTGCTCCCCGTCTTTATGCAAAAGTCCGGACCTTGATCTCTTCGGATCGCCTGGATCCACTGCCTCCGTTGGTCCGGGTCCGTCGATAAGGCTGTTTTCTTGCCCCGCATGAACAACCAGGGACTGAAGAAAAACAACTGCGCCGAGACCGAGCCATTATCCTAGCCTTTTAATGCTAGCGCTATAGCCACCGGAAGTTGTCCAACCCCACATCCGCTTTATAAAACACATGCGTACAACTGTCTCGGCCCCGCGCATGCGCACAACGGCCGCAGCCCGCGCATGCGCACAACCGCCCCCGCCCCGCGCATGCGCACAACGGCCCGGGGCCCGCGCATGCGCAAAACCGCCCCCGCCCCGCGCATGCGCACAACGGGCCAGGGCCCGCGCATGCGCACAACCGCCCCGGCCCCTGCGGGTGGATGTGTCGTGTAGTCAGCCTGACTAGCTTTCTGAGAGGACAAACTGCCGTTTCTTCGTCCTCTCGAAAGCAGACTCTCTCCTTGCCGGTGCAGTGAAGTTATTCCAGGCAAACAGGGAAGGAACAGCTCCACTTCTAAGGCGGCTGGTGGTGGATCCTCAACAAAATCTTCCGGTGTTAAGTGGCGGCTACATACGAAAGTGCTCCCCGTCTTTATGCAAAAGTCCGGACCTTCATCTCTTCGGATCGCCTGGATCCACTGCCTCCGTTGGTCCGGCTCCGTCGGGAACGCATGATATGACAGATAAGGCTGTTTTCTTGCCCCACATGAAAAACCAGGGACTGAACAAAAACAACTGCGCCGAGACTGAGCCATTTTCCTAGCCTTTTAATGCTAACGCTATAGCCACCGGAAGTTGTCCAACCCCACATCCGCTTTCAAACTCGGAAGCGTGAAAAAGGTCTATTGCTAAAAATCTTTTTTATAATTTGTTTTACTATTTATGGTATCATCACAACCTGACACTTTGTTTAAATAGACTATATGAGTGTTTCTCTGACATCATCAAAGTGAAAATTAATTCATAAAAGTTAATTTATGCTTCATCGGTTAAAATTATGTCATACATTTTCTCTCAAAAGTAGAAAAAGTTAAAAGTTTGTAGATGGAAAAAATTTAATAATAAGAGGCCCGAAACTTCATTTTAGATCAGGGAAGACATTGAAGATATTTGAGAACACAACATTTACCCATTTTGAAATAATTGTTTGTCAGTTCCACAATTTCGAGGCAGGCAAACACTGACATTTCGCTGTTTCCTGGCATCTGTGCCAACATAGATGACCTCTAATATATTTGAAATTCACAATGACTTCTCAAACCTCAACTGTATTGGCCTACAAATTTAAAAGCTATGACACGTTGAATATCTTTGGCATCAGAACCACGTCCAAGTCAAGCACTATGAAATTATTTTAAAACCTGTACGAAAGAGGATTTAGAGGAGAAAAAAAGAACATAAAATGGATGTCTTAAAAATGTTTAACAACTGTACAGGCTTATGTATAATCACATGATGTAATTATGGTAAATAAGATGTAAATATAAAAAAATGTATATATATATATATATATATATATATATATATATATATATAACTTTTAGAACTGAGACTTTTCTCTTCACTGCCAAACATGAAAAATACTGCAAATCCCATCTTCCAGTTACTAACTGACAAGAAAATGACGACAGTTTAAGCCTGAATGCAGCGGCCATCAAAGATAAGCCCTCACAAGGCACCGTGTGACTCTGCTACTGTCAGACAGACACCGTCCATTTAAAAGATGAAATGCTCAAGATATTGAAAAGAATCAGAAAAAGAGGGAGAGGAAAAAAAAAATCAGAGTGGGCGATCTGACTTTCCGGTTCATGGGAGGAGTTCCTCCCATGGTGGAAAGTCAGCAGTGACTCCAGTCCTGGGTGGAAAAGAATGGTCACTACAGTTGGAGCCAGAGGTTAAGACAACTGAGCTGATGACAAGGTGTGTGCAGAGAAAAAGAGAGACAGTTTGACAGTTGTAGGGACACAAGTATTTGAACTTTGGGGAACTCCTCGGGTAGTTTTTGCTTAGAAACTATTTTCCTTTAAGAGCAAAAACAGTCAAATGCAGAATCAGGAATTCTAGCAGTCGAGCAGCGAAAGCACAAAATAATTCACAGCAGCTGCAGCCATCATACAATGTTTGTGTTCCTTCAATGTTAGTTCCTGCGAAATGCTCGATTGAAAATAATGAGAAAGCTGCGGTCTGGCCTTCTATTGCTTTCTGAAAGATTTTTGCTAATGAATCATGCATGCTTTATCAGCAAGACCTAACAATAACACACTAGACTGTCCCATGCT